GTGAGAGGACGACACGAGCACGCTGCAGCTATCTGAGAGGACGCGGTGACCTAGGGAGATGCTACGGACTAGGGGGGACGCAATGTCCAGCGTGAACAAGCCAGACACAGGGTCCCGGGGACGTGGTAAGAGGGGCACCAGTGGCGGCCTCGGTACGGACGGCGTACAGCTCGTGTCCATGGAACGTAGTGGTGACACCAAGGTCCTGAAGACAGCCGACACCAACCAGGTTCCTGGAGGACGAGGGGATGTGCAAGCCTGTAAGAAAGCCCAAGAGGACGCTAGACCGGAAGGGCAGTAGAGCTACGTGCGACTACCTAACCTGAGGAGCGGTCAGCAAGCGCTACAGCAGCAGGGGCAGCAAGCGGCGTGAGCGAAGTGTGTCGCGGAAGAAGTAGGCAGACGCTCCAGAGTCGAGCGTGAAAGAGAGCGAAAGCAGTAGCGTCTGCAGTAGCGACAGCTGGTAGGGGACTAGCGTAAGAGCCTAAGATAAACTAAGCAAGAGGTCCTACGCCTGACGCAGCAGGTGAACCTAGACTACACACGGGAGGCACACCAACACTAGGCAACACAGGGTAATAAGATCCGGTCACACTAGAGTCATCAATTTACATGACATACATAGCAGTCCTAATCTGACCATGTCAAGCTCAAAAACAAGCCCACCACGGCGGCGAGCCAGGGGCATACCAGCCAGGAGGGTTCGATGTGGGACCAAAGCGGAGATGGTTGAAGGTCGTCAAGGCGGCAGTACCACGGGCGGCGGTGTGACCTGGATGGTCGCAGACGGTGCCGCGACGAGGGCCGTTCTGAATTTGGTACTGGCAGGTGGCCACTCTAGAGCCGCCACCTGACACCCGAGCTGCGCGGGCACCACCACGACGACCACCACCAGCGCCACCAGGCCACCACGACGGCGGGGTCCCCACGACGGCTCCTGCTGCTGGTACGACTGCTGCTGTGGAGGCTGCTGCTGAGGCTGCTGCTGTGGAGGCTGCTGCTGAGGCTGCTGCTGCGGCTGCTACTCCGGGTCACCATCCGCAGTCCACTTGACTGCACCACCATCCCAAGCCCCACGTCCACCACCCCCACCACCCCCATCACCCCTTCACCCTTCCCTCTGCCACGCCCCCCCTTGGGCGGCGGCCCCTACCCGAACACTACTGCGCTGAGGCCGCGCAGTGGTCTTAGCATCAGGGGGTTGACTTAGCAATAGCGGCCATAAACATCAGAGTAAGTGCATTGGAAGGGAGCACAGCCCTTGGAAGATTGGGACCGGCGCAGTACCGCTAGACTGAGCGATAGTGCGCTGGCGGGCCTCTATCGCGAACAGGGGGGTGACAAAAGGCAGTGAGGGTGAGGTCACCTGGGTGCTGACTAAGGAATGGTCGCGGGCAGTGGCTAGGCGGTCAAGAAGACACGTGGCAATGAGGTAAAGGGTAGCACAAAGCGGCGGCGGGAAGGCAGTGTGTTGTGCCTTAGTGCTAGCGGCGCGGTAGCTAGTCTCCTGTAGGCGGAGGTGAGTGGCAAGGTCAGCGACAGTGGGAAGGTGCAAGGTTAGGAACAGCATGGGGAGGATCAGATGGCTAATGGCAAGTTGAGCAACAGCGTTGCCGCGAGTCCCAGACAGCGCAGGCAAGCTCAGCAGTGACAAAAGCCTCACCCAGCAGACGTGGGGTCGTCAGGGAGGGCAGCAGGCGGGGCGGGTGAGGGAGCTTACCGTCGACATGACGGCCAGGGAGTGGCCGTCCTGGCGCTGCCCGGTCGGCTGGTGGCAGAGGTGGACGAGCCACGCCTCAAACTCGATGGCCTGACCCTCCGCGTCTAGGCGGAGCAATGAGTCTACCATCACCACAACTGCAGCAACTGGCTGCCGCTGACAAGGGGAGGAGGGTGGTGGAGTGCGGTGGGGACGGTGGAGCGCGGTGGAGAGCAATGGAGAGGTGGAGTGCGGTGGAGAGCAGTGAAGTGCGGTAGAGATTGCCGGCGAGAGTGCCGGTTCAGAGGGAAGCCAAGGCCGGCTGGCGGCTACGAACGTCCGGCGGTGACGGGCAGGCGGGCTACAAGCGAACCAGTGGTGGTGGCGGGGGCGGCGGCAACGGGCGGCCAGCAGCGGCAGGCGGCTGGCGGCTGGCAGCTGGCCACCAGCGGCGACGGGCAGCGGCTGGTGGCAGCAGCGGCCAGCGGCGACGGGCAGTGGCTGGCGGCAGCGGGCAGTCAAGCAGGGATGGGCGGATGGTGGCGACGGGCGGCCAGCGGCTATGGGTGGCTGGCGGCAGCGGGCAGCCAGCGGCGACGGGCGGCTGGCGGCAGCTGGCAGCTGGCGGCGACGAGCGACCAGCGGCGACGGGCGGCCAGCGGCGACGGGCGGCCAGCGTCGACGGTCGGGCTGGCGGCAACGGGCAGCCATCGGCGATAGGCGGCCAGCGGCTACAGGCGGACTGGCGGCGACGGGCGCCAGTTGCAACAGGCGACCAGCGGCAATATGCGACGGGCGGCCAGCGGGCTATGGGCGACCTGGGTAGCGGGCTACGGGCGGCGGGCCGGCCAGCCAGCGGGCTACGGGCGACGGGGGCCAGCGGGCCTACGGGCAACGGGCGGCCAGCGGGCTACGGCGACGGGGGGCAGCGGGTGACGAGCGGCTGGCGGCTACGACGGTCAGCTAGGAACAGGCAGCTAGCACGGGCCGGCACTTGCTAAGGCTAGGACTAGGGGGGAAGCGCGGGTGGGCAGGATCCTAACCTACTAGCATGATACCATCTCAGAGTAAAAGATGGACTTCATGTGAGATACAGGGTGATTTTGTCTAAGGGGTTGTAACTCTCTAAATAGTACGCACCTATCTAGCCTATAGTAACATTTAAATATATGTTTGACACGTCTTTCATGTAATGAAGACTGCTTTGCCGCCAGCAGCACTGGCTGGTCGATTGCTTGAATTATGGAGGGTGAATGTGGCGCCCTCCCTGCTGTGGATTGGTGGGTCGATGACCTGTATAATGCGAATGGTGAGACTGACTGACCCAGCAGACTGCTGTGGAGTCATGCCACATTCCTTCCCTCCCCCTCCCCCTTTCGGCTCCCTAACTTCCACACAACCCTATCCTTCCACGCAGCATTGTCGCTTTATTGCCGTATCATGGTACACTTTTGCAGCCGCTTTTCGTCACCCTTCTGCCACGTCAGCACCTTGTCCCTGTTTATCCCCTCCGCCACTCTTATTTCCCTCCTCTTTTTTGCCTTCAGTCCGCCAGTACTCGTCCAGGGGCTGCTTGAAGAGGAAGTAACCAGATGCCACGCCCACACTGCAGGCAAAGGATGGGGCGAAGGAATAGGGGGAACGGGCATCAGGATGTAAAATACGTCCAGTGGCTGCTGGAAGAGAAAGTAACCAGATGCCACGCCCACCCTGCAGACATGGGAAAGGGACAGGGATCAGGGAGAGGGATAGCGGGGAGGGACAGGGGGAAGAGATAGCGGGAAGGGACAGGGGGAAGGGCCAGGGGGAAGGAACAGGGGCAAGGGACAGGAGGAAGTGGCAGGGGGAAGGGACAGGGGATGGGACAGGAAAAAAGATAGATTGAGATGTGTCCAAGCTGTCCAGAGGCCGGTTGAAGAGGAAGTAGCCAGATGCAACGCCCAGACTGCGTGCACACTGGGGCAGGGCTGTCATGCAACGCACGGGTAGGGGGAAGGGAACAGGGGGAAGGGGTGGGGGAAAGGGGCAGAGAGAGGAGGGACAGGGGGGGGGTGCAGGGGAAGGAACAGGCGGATAGGTGGCCGTTGATTGGGGGAGGGATATTGGGAAACAGGGTCAGCGGGGAAGTGGGGGATGGGAAGTGGGGGATGGGAAGTGGGGTGGGAAGTGGGAAGTGGGGGATGGGAAGTGGGGGATGGGAAGTGGGGGGATGGGAAGTGGGGATGTGAAAGTGGGGGATGTGAAAGTGGGGGATGTGAAAGTGGGGATGTGAAAGTGGGGGATGTGAAAGTGGGGGATGGGCGAAGAGGGATGGGCAAGTGGGGTTTGAGACCGCGGAGGCGAAGGGAATGAAGAGGTGGTGCCTGCTGCTAGGGAGTGAGCGAGCTAGTTCCATGGGACCCGGAAAAAAATCCCACCCTGGATACTTCTAGTAATGGAACCCGAACAGGCGGTCGTGAGAATATAATGCCCTGCTAAAGTAGAATATATTGGAATCTATATTCTCCCCCTGTAGTGACAAGGGGCTTGCGCGCCAGTGGCTTACATCATGGCAATCGCGACTTGATCGAGCGGAAGGCGAGGTCGACGGTACATCTGTGACGGCTGCCGGCTGCTGACTGCTGACTGCTAGCCGTTGACTGCTAACCGTTAACCGTTGGCCGCTAACTGTTAGCCGCTGACTGTCGCCTGTTAGCGCAGCAGGTGGCAGAGACGGGCGAGAGAAAGCGCTAACGGGACAGAGGATTGGCAGGGAAAGACCTGGGAAGGCAATCGAAGAACGCGAGTGGGTTGAATCTACGTCGGAAGGGCCGTCGCTGCGGCACCTGTGGATACGAAATAGCACCGAATAACGAAGGCACCTTGTTGGTGCTTGGCTGGAAAGAAGCGAGCTGGTGGATAGTGGGGGAGTGCCTGCGAAAAGCGTTGAACAGATTGGGACGGTTTTGATTGTGCCAGGTTTGGTTTCCGAAAGTCTACACTCGAATTTTGCACTCCGAACGAACCATTTTGGGCCCGGTTTCCTCACTCCAGCTCCCGAAATGAAATCTGAACTGCAACTGATGTACTCGTTGTGAACCGTTGTTTGTGTACCCGGATGCTGTTCAGTTCGGGAATGAGAAGAGGGGTATTTCAACCTTGTTTGTGCTGCAGGCAGAGTTCGTAAATATCGGTATATTTGAATCCAGAACCGAAACGACTCGCTTTCGTTGCGCGAATACCAAATCCCTTGGCCCACCTCCACCCCAACCCTTTCCCTCTGCAAATCCCAAGGTACAGGCGACGAATTCAGCCACGCACTCAGGAAAGAGTCTTCTCGTCAATTGAATCTTTGCTTGCAATCCCGCTGGCAGCGGCATTGCTCGTGCTGTAACAGCTGTCACAGCAGCAGCTGTCACCCATCCCATTGTTTTTTAGGGAAAGCTACCATCTAGAAGACGCGAGCTCGAGCCGCGCTGGTCACCAGATTCCCGTGTCGCCATGGACGCGATGCGGGAGAACCTGGCGTACTTAATCGACCAGCGGCTGTACGAGTCGGCTGAGATCCTCGTGAGTGGCTACGACGGTCAATAGTAGCCACAGTGTCACTAAAAAGCTCGGAATGCAGTGACCGTCACTGGATAGGAACGCATTCTAGGGTCGAACGAGGCAGAACGCGTGTGTATCATGCCTTGACAAAGGGATCATGATATGGTATCATATCATATCATATCATGCCCTCTCAGCTTTCCCGTTTTCCACTCCCTTTCCCCATTCTCCGCCGCGGACCTTATTTCCGATTCACCGTGCACCTGAATTCGGTCCCCTGCTCCTTCAGGGAAGCTTCCTGATCTCAGCAGCCGGGCCGGGCAGCGAGGTGTCGGCAATCTCGAGGGCGGAGAATCTGGTGCTCTACGCGGACGCGCTCTTTGGAAGACAGGAGTACCGCCGCGCGCTGGTAGGTGTCTCGCTCCCAGCCTCCCCCTCCTCGCTCCTCCCACCCTCCCTCTCTCTTTCCCTCTCTTTGCCGACGCGCTCTTTGGGAGACAGGAGTACCGCCGAGCTCTGGCTGGTAGGAAGGTGCCTTCTTCCTCGCTCACTCCTCACTCCTCTCAGTTGGCAATCATCCCCTTTATGGAACCAGGCAGCGAGCTGGCGGCATTCCCAAGGGCGGAGAATCTGGTGGTCTACGCCGCGCGTTCCGGGTGGCAGGAGTACTGGCCCGCGCTGGTAGGTGTGCGTAGGTGTGCGGAGGCTGATAGTGCGCTGGTACCAGATGCCTCCCCCCTCACCTTTTGCCCCTTCCCCCTTGCCCCTCGCCTCTCCTCTCTCCCCTCTACCGCTAGGCGCAGCAGCTCCTCAGTTCTCCTCCCCATGGTCCCTTCCTCTCCCTTCCCCTCTCCTTCCCTCTCCCCTCCCCTCTCCTCTCCTCTCCCCTCCCCCTCTCCTCCCCTCTCCCCTCCCCCTCCTCCTCCCTCCCTCTCCCTCTCTCCTCCCTCTCCCCTCCCCTCTCCTCCCTCCCTCCCCCCTCCTCTCCCCTCTCCCCCCCTCTCTCCTCCCCTCTCCCCTCCCCTCCCCTCCTCCTCCCCTCTCCCCTCCCCCCTCTCCTCCCCTCTCCCCTCCCCCTCTCCTCCCTCTCCCCCCCTCTCTCCTCCCCTCTCCCCTCCCCTCTCCCCTCCCCTCCTCCTCCCTCTCCCTTCCCCCTCTCCTCCCTCTCCCCTTCCCCCACTCCCCCCTCTCCCCTTCCCCTCTCCTCCCTCTCCCCTTCCCCCTCTCCCCTCCCCCTCTCCCCCCCCCTCTCCTCCCCTCTCCCCTTCCCCTCTCCCCTTCCCCCTCTCCTCCCTCTCCCCTTCCCCCTCTCCTCCCCTCTCCCCTTCCCCCTCTCCTCCTCCCCTCTCCCCTTCCCTCCTCCCCTCTCCCCTTGCTCTCAGAATCTCTACCGTCAGGCGCAGGAGCTCTGCATATCTCTCCTCTCTCCACTCCCCCTTAGCCCCTCCTCTCCCCTGTCTCCCCTCGCTCCCTCCCCTCCTCCTCTCTCCCCTCGCTCCCTCCCCTCCTCCTCTCTCCCCTTGCTCGCTCCCCTCCTCCTCTCTCCCCTCGCTGGCTCCCCTCCTGTCTCCCCTTGCTCCCAGAATCTCTACCGCCAGGCGCAGCAGCTCTGCAAGGTGGCCGGCCATGCGGGCGGCAGCACTCGGACCGTACCCGGCAGCCCTGCCACTGTAGCCAGCGCCGGCCTGGGGAATGCCATCCAGTCAGGCAGCTACAGTGCAGGGGTGGGAGGGGGAGGGGAGGAGCTGGGGGAGGTACTGGGGGAGTGGGGCGTATGGGGGGTGGGGCAATCAGGAGGGGCAAGCGGGATAGGGGAGTGGGGGAGGGGGAGATTGGGAGCTGGGGGATGGCCATGGGGTGTTTGCCAATGGTTTCGGGGGCGGCGTGTGCGGGGTAGGGGGTGGAGGAGGAGGGGGGTGTGTGGTTGGTGGAGTGGGTGGTGGTATGAGCATAGTGGCTCTGGATACAGACGTGGGAAAGGCAGAGGTGAGAGGGACACAAGATCATCGTTTCTGTTTCTCCCCTCCCCTTGCTCGCTCCATTTTCCGTTCATTCTCTTGCCGTTTCCTCCTCATAGTCCCGCTCCCCTCCTTCATCCTCTCTCTCTCTTGTCCACCCATCCCCCTCATACGTGACGTACCAGGTTCGTCTGAGGGTGGCGGAGTGCTACGTGGCGTTGAAGGAGGTCAAGCCTGCACTCACAGAGGTGCGTGCGTAAAGTCAACCAAGTCAAGCAATTCAATCTGTTGTAGCAGGCTCAATTAAGCAAAAAGGTTTGTCTGCCTGCGGGTGGCGGAGTGCTACGTGGCGTTGAAGGAGGTCAAGCCCGCACTCACAGAGGTACGCAGAAAGTCAAGACGAGTCAAGCGATTGAATCAGTTCAATTTGGTCAAACTATTCAAGCAGGTCAAACAAAGCAAATAGGTTCGTCTACGAGTGGCCAAACGACTGCTACGTGGCACAGGTCAAACAGGTCAAACACTATTCCCGGTATTTCCTGTGTTGCATATGTTTCGTTGCCTCCCTCCAACCCTATGTCCCCTCCTTGTTCCCCTCATATCACCTGCTCTCGCTGCACCTCAGCCTGTGGCCAATGCGCCTCAAATCTCCCTTGCCTCACCCCTCCTCCTCCCCCACTTCCCCCCATGCCTCCTGCTACCCCCAGCTGGAAGCCGTGCCTCACCGCCTGCGCTCGCTGCGCCTCAACCTGCTGCTGGCCCGCCTCTACCACTCCAGCAGCTACGACCGTGCTGCCCTGGCCGCTTACAAGGAGTGCCTCAGGTGCGCATCAATGCCTCAGGTGTTTTTTAGTGCCTCAGGCGCCCTCTACTGCCTCAGGCGCCCTCTAGTGCCTCAAACTGCTGTTGGCCCGCCTCTACCACTCCAGCAACTGATAACGTGACCGCGCTGCACTGGCTGCATACAAGGAGTGCCTCAGGTACTCTCAGTTGCGCCTCAGGTACTCTCAGTTGCGCCTCAGGTACTCTCAGTTGCGCCTCAGGTACTCTCAGTTGCGCCTCAGGTACTTCTCAGTTGCGCCTCAGGTACTCTCAATTGCGCCTCAGGTACTCTCATTTGCGCCTCAGGTACTCTCAGTTGCGCCTCAGGTACTCTCAGTTGCGCCTCAGGTACTCTCCGTTGAGCCTCAGGTACTCTCCGTTGAGCCTCAGGTACTCTCAGTTGCGCCTCAGGTTCCCACGTGCCTCTGGTATTCCCAAGGTTTACGGACTCTTTGGAACGATGGGAAGACTGACAACACCTGAGGCACTATTGGGAAGACACCCTCTTTTTCCAACGAGATTTGGGGTGGCGGAAAGGGGTTGAGACGAACTCCCTCCCACCCGACGCCCCCCTTCCCCACACCCACCTTCACCGCCACCTTGGCAGTGCACAGTGCACACTTGGCTTGGAGGCTCCTCTTAGAGTTTGACAAGCAGAGCCCCCTCCCCTCCTCCCCAACCACCCCCAGGGAGTGCCCTTTCGCCATGCAGGTCCTGGCAGCTGTGGCTCAGCTGGTGCTGTCCCCAAACCACACTCCCCGTACCCTTACCCTCCCCCCCCCCCCCCTTCCCCCTCCTCCTCCGCAACCACCCCAGGCAGTGCCCGTTCGCCATGGAGGCCCTGGCAGCTGTGGCTCAGCTGGGGCTATCTGCCAAAGAGACCTGCGCGCTGCTGCCCCAGCAAGAGGTGAGAGATGGTGCATTTGATGTTGCTCCACTCAAGTGTCAAGGCTCAGCTGGGCCGACCTGCCAAAGCGACTTTGAGGCGCCTAAAAAATCCAGCTGGGCCTATCTGCCAAAGTGACCTGCTGCCTCAGCAAGAGGTGAGAGGTGGTGCATTAGCTTCAACAGCGACAAGTGTGGATGCCTTCACATCCCATCGGAATTCCTTTCATTTCATCACCCCAACCGTTTCGTCTTATCCCATCCCATCCCACGCCACCCCCTGCCCAACATCCCCACCCGCCATCCTTTTTCCAGCCCCTTCCCAGCACCCCTTGCGGCAGGGGGGCAGCAAAACGACATTCTCCTTCTTCATGCCATCTCCCACCTCCGCCCACCCTCCCCGCGCTCCCCCACCCTCCCCGCACTCCCCCCACCCTCCCCGCACTCCCCCACCCTCTCCCCCCACCCTCCCTGCACTCTCCCCACCCTCCCCGCACTCCCCCCACCCTCCCTGCACTCTCCCCCCCTCTCCGCACTCTCCCATCCTCCCTGCACTCTCCCCACCTCCCTGCACTCTTCCCACCCTCCCTGCACTCCCCCCACCTCCCCGCACTCTCCCCACCTCCCTACACTCTTCCCACCCTCCCCGCACTCTCCCCACCTCCCCGTGCCGTCTCTCCCCCCCAGCCCCTTCCGAGCACCCCCAGCAGCAGAGGGGGCGGCAAGGCGGCAGGGGCAGGGGAGGTGCACGAGTCGTGCAGGTGGCTGCAGAAGTATGTGGAGGCCCAGGCGCACCGCACAGCCAACGAGAATGCAGGTGGGGATTTCCAGACATCTATGTATGAGTGTACGATGGTGCATGAATGTGCATGAGTGAGAGCTTGAGTGGCTGCAGAAGTATGTGGTGGGAGCAGGGGAGGCACAGGCGCACACACAGCGAATGAGAACGCAGGTGGGAGCAGAGAAGGGGCAACGAGCATGAGTGGGGGTATGAGTGAGAAACGCGAGTGGGGGTATGACTCATGAGTGAGATCATGAGTGACAGAAGTATGCAGAGGACGCATAGGTGCACTGCCCAGTGCATGAGAATGCAGGTGAGAGCGGTCATGTAGGTTAGAGATTTCAAAAGCAGACACATCAGCAGCACGGTTCCTAGAAAGGAGACACGTCAGCTCAGAAAGTTGCCATAGTGGCTCGCTCTCCCCTCCCTCTTCCTGTCTCCTCCAGCCAGCTTGGACGAGTATCAGCAGCTGGTGTCTCGTTTTCTCAAAAACCTGCACCTGCACAAGGGGCAGGTGGGCGCCCACTCCTCACCGCCTCATTCTTCTGCTCCTTCAATTCCCGCTCCCTCCAGCCAGCTTGGACGAGTATCAGCAGCTGGTGTCTCGATTCCCCAACAACGTGCACCTGCACCTGCACATGGGGCAGGTGGGTTCCTTCCACTCAGCTTCCTCTGGGTCTATCCGCCAATCACTTTCAGGCTGTCCTAGGCCACGCTGTATAAAACCCATGCGATTGTACCCAGGTACTCCCTTCGCATACCAAGTAATGTTATCATTCTATAGAATGGAACCCATTGCGATGCTACCTGAATGTATGCCCAAGTACTTTGACCATGCCATCCCATGCCATCCCATGCCATCCCATGCCATCCCATGCCGTCGCATTCCATCGCATACCATTGCATGCGTTCCCATGCCATGCCGTGTGCTGTCATCACCATCACCATCACCATCATCATCATCATGCCATGCGTTGCCGTCTTCGCCAGGTGGAGGCATCTCAGGGCCGCAACGAAGAGGCCATGATTCACTACCAGAAGGTGCTCTCGTTACTATGTTCTCTCGTTATAAGGTGGTCTTCTTCCTTATTATGTGATCTCGTTATTCTGTGCTCTTTTTATTAGGTGCTCTCGGTATACGGCGCTTTCGATATACAGTGCTCTCGTTATTAGTAGCTCTCGTTATTGTCTCGTACCCCCTTCAACATCCCCAAACTGCAAGTGGAGGGGGGCCACCTGGGGGGCGTAGGGGATAGGGGGGGGGGTTTGGGGGGGAGCGAAGCCAGGATCAAGAGGGGGGGGGGAGAAGAAGTTGGGTTCATAGACTCGCTCATCCACCCCTTTTCCTTTTCCCACCGCAGGCCCGCACTCTAGACCCTTTCAACATCAGCTGCATGGACGACTACGCCCTGCTGCTGCTCTCCGCCGCTCCCCTCCTCCTCCTCCGCCCTGCCCGCCCCAACCTGCAAGTAGAGCGGGGCATCTGGGGGGCGCAGGGGGAGGGGCGGGGGGGGTGGAGTTGAAGAGGCTAGCGGCGGAGATGCTGGGGGTGGGGGCGGGCGGGCGGAGGCATGGGTGGTGGCTGCTGCGCTGTGGATGAGTAAAGGGGAGCGAGGGGAGTGCCATGGCTTATGTTGAGAAGGTGAGTATGCTTGTATTGGGTATAAGAGGCTAACAAGGTAAGTGCTGGCAAGACGAGCGGGGCGGTGGAGGCATGGGTGGTGGTTGCTGCCTGTGGATGAGCAAAGGGGAGAGGGGCAGTGCGCTGGCGTGTTGAGAAGGTGGGTGAGCGTAGGTGTGTGGATGCAGTCTCTCTAGGTGAGTACAGTAAAGTCAGAATTCTCCAAGCATTGCTCCACAGGGTGCACTCTGTCGAGGTGAGTGCGTTGCTGTGATATGAAGTTGACATGGGAAGTGTTTGCAGAAGCAGCAGGGAGGGCGGAGGCATGGGTGGTTGTGCTGCTCTGTGGATGAGCGGGGGGGGAGTGAGGCAGTGCTATGGCATATGTTGAGAAGGTGGGTGTGTTAGCCTGTTGAGAATTCTCAGAAACATAACAAGAGTGCGGAGGTCAGGTGATTTGGTTGGCTTAAGTAATCCGCTAAGCCCCCCCCCCCCCTTTCATTCCCCTCAGGCCCTTCAACTAGACAACCACCTCTTCCCTAAACCCTGAACCCTAAACCCTTATCCCCCTTCTTGCTTTCTCCATTTCCTCCCATTCCTCCCCTTACCTTTCTTCCCTGCCTTCTTCTCCCTCAGGCCCTTCAACTAGACGACCACCACTTCCCTGCTCTCCTAGCCAAGGTGCGTCTCATCCTCCCGATGTGTTCTGTTTTTTATAATTCTAAAAAACAGAACACATGTAGCTCTACGCTGCCTGTTTTTTTTAGAATTCTAGATAACACAACACATCCTCGAGTTTGCAGGGTTTTTTTAAGAATTCTAAAAAAAACACAACACATCCTCGACGACCATCACTTCCCTGCTCTCCTAGCAAGGTGTGTCTCGTCCTCCGGCCGTGCACCTCCAAGTCCCGGCCCGCGCTCTTCATGTTTCAGCAATCACGTGCGTTACACGTGCAATGGTTGAGGGTCTTGTTGAGCCATCTAGACACAGGCAGCAGTAATGGCGGCAGGACGAGCAGCCGCCCTCTATTCTCCTTCTCCCCCCGTTCAGGGCGCCATTCCTGCTGTAAGCCAACTGGTTCGGGACAGCAGCGTGGCAACAACTGGAGCACCCTTGCACTAGGTTTCTTAGCCCCACTGACCTTAGCCCCATTCTCACCCGCTGGAGCACCCAACTCAGCCCCCGCCCCGTTTTTTGAGTTGACCCAAAAGTCCACTGAGGTCTCAACCCCCACCCCTAACCTCTATCATTCTGGTTGCGAAAAAACGCTGTCCTTCTCCCACCAGGGCGCCATTCTGCTGCATGCCGATCGGTCCGAGACAGCAGCGGTGGCGGCAGCAGCAGCAGCCATTTTTCGGAGAGCATACACTCAGAAGCAAGACCTGCGGGTGTTCCAAGGTATTGGTGCAAGGTGGTGTTCCAATGTAGCGCGAGAGAGAAGCCAGGTCATGTCCTTTCTTGATGTGCGTGTTATGACAAGAACGAGGGGTGGCCCACTGACTCTGTGTTTTTCCGGAGAGCATAAACACAGAAGCAAGACCTGCGGCTGCGGGTGTTACAAGGTGGTGTTACAAGGTGGTGTTACAAGGTGGTGTTACACGGTGGTGTTACAGGGTGGTGTTACGAGGGGGTGTTAGAAGGTGGTGTTGCAAGGCGGTGTTAGAAGGTGGTGGTGCAAGGCGGTGTTAGAAGGTGGTGGTGCAAGGCGGTGTTAGAAGGTGGTGGTGCAAGGCGGTGTTAGAAGGTGGTGGTGCAAGGCGGTGTTAGAAGGTGGTGTTGCAAGGCGGTGTTAGAAGGTGGTGTTGCAAGGCGGTGTTAGAAGGTGGTGTTGCAAGGCAGTGTTAGAGAGGAGAGAGAGGCATGTGCAGTTCCCCTCTTCCTCTTCCTCTTCCTCTTCCTCTTCCTCTTCCTCTTCCTCTTCCTCTTCCTCTTCCTCTTCCTCTTCCATCTCCACCGAACTCACCCTCTAACTATGCTTGTAAATTTGAGACCAAGTGATGCCTCTTTTGGGCAATTCACCTTCCAAACCAGGTAGCACCTTCCAAACCAGGTTGCACCTTCCAAACTAGGTAGCACCTTCCAAACCAGGTTGCACCTTCCAAACCAGGTAGCACCTTCCAAACCAGGTAGCACCTTCCAAACCAGGTAGCACCTTCCAAACCAGGTGGCACCTTCCAAACCAGGTAGCACCTTCCAAACCAGGTAGCACCTTCCAAACCAGGTGGCACCTTCCAAACCAGGTAGCTAGCAACCCTCGGATGATGACGGCATTTTCTGTCGTCGCATACTCCTGTTCCTGCCGTTGCTCCGAACCACCCTCCCAGGTCTGGTCCGAGCCTACCTGCGCATTCCGAAGCTGAAGGAGGCCATAGCAGCAGCTCGAGAGGCAGTCAAGGCGTTCCCTAACTCTGCCAGCGCTTTGTCTCTTCTGGGGGAGGTGTATCTGCAGCACGGGGACAGCAGGGACAAGGTAGTGCTACCCTAAAAGCCCCCTCTTCTTTTTCACTACTCATGGTGTTTGCAAAATGTTTCTCTGTTGTGTTTCTAGTCGACAGAAAATACCTCCACTCACCTGCGACCAACACCCTCCACCTCCCCTTTCCCCTCCTCCCTCCCCACGGCGGGTGCGCAAGGTGTTTGAAGCTGCACCGACGATGGCCATTCCCTGCGCTCTGCGTCAAACAATCCTCCCTCCTGCTCTTGCCTCCTGCTCTTGCCTCCTGCTCTTGCCTCCTGCTCTTGCCTCCTTCTCTTGCCTCCTGCTCTTGCCTCCTGCTTTTGCCTCCTGCTCTTGCCTCCTGCTCTTGCCTCCTGCTCTTGCCTCCTGCTCTTGCCTCCTGCTCTTGACCCCTCCTGCTCTTGCCTCCTGCTCTTGACCCCTCCTGCTCTTGCCCCCTGCCCTTGACCCCTCCTGCTCTTCCCACCTGCCCTTGACCCCTCCCCCTCTGCAGGTGCGCAAGGTGTTTGAAGCTGCACTGAGGATGGCCAGCCGGTGTGCTGCTTCTAAGAACCCCCCGTTTACTGCCCGCCCCCCCCTCTACACACCCACACACACCACTGCAGGCACACAAGGTATTCGAGGCTGCACTCAGGATGGGCAGTCACTGTGGCGCTGCTGTCACGGAGAAGCCTCTTCCTTTTTGCAACTCTCCTCAGGGATCGCTGCTGCCCCCTTAGAACTCTCCTTTGATCTCCCCTCCACCCCTCCATACACCCACACAAACCATTGCAGGCGCGTAAGGTGTTTGAGGCTGCTCTGCGGATGGATGGACAGTCGGTGCGATGTGCCTTATTCTTGTCCTCCCACCTGCTCCTGTCCCCTGCCCTTGCCCCCTCCCCCTCTGCAGGCGCGCAAGGTGTTTGAGGCTGCTCTGCGGATGGACAGTCGTTGTGGCGCTGCTGTCACGGGATTGGCTGACGCACACAGCATGGATGGCCGGCACGCTGCGGCTGTTGACGTGTGAGTCTGAACTTATCTGTGTGCCACACACTGGCAGTGTGCAGCAGACTGGCAGTGTGCAGCAGACTGGCAGTGTGCAGCAGACTGGCAGTGTGCAGCAGACTGGCAGTGTGCAGCAGATTGGCAGCGTGCAGCAGACTGGCAGTGTGCGGCAGACTGGCAGTGTGCAGCAGACTGGTTGTGTGCAGCAGACTGGCAGTGTGCAGCAGACTGGCAGTGTGCAGCAGACTGGCAGTGTGCAGCAGACTGGCAGTGTGCAGCAGACTGGCTGTGTGCAGCAGATTGGCAGCGTGCAGCAGACTGGCAGTGTGCGGCAGACTGGCAGTGTGCAGCAGACTGGTTGTGTGCAGCAGACTGGCAGTGTGCAGCAGACTGGCAGTGTGCAGCAGACTGGCAGTGTGCAGCAGACTGGCAGTGTGCAGCAGACTGGCAGTGTGCAGCAGACTGGCAGTGTGCAGCAGCAGACTGGCAGTGTGCTGCAGCAGACTGGCAGTGTGCAGCAGACTGGCAGTGTGCAGCAGCAGACTGGCAGTGTGCGGCAGACTGGCAGTGTGCAGCAGACTGGCAGTGTGCAGCAGACTGGCAGTGTGCAGCAGACTGGCAGTGTGCAGCAGCAGACTGGCAGTGTGCTGCAGCAGACTGGCAGTGTGCAGCAGACTGGCAGTGTGCTGCAGCAGACTGGCAGTGTGAAGCAGCCTGGCAGTGTGCAGCAGACTGGCAGTGTGCCGCAGTAGACTGGCAGGAGGCCAAGCTTGGTGTTGGTCACACTACATCCTCTCACACCCGTTCCTCTCACACCCGTGGTGAAGCTGTGTGGCAGTGGGCGTTGAGAATTCTCAAAAGCCAACTCAGCTGGCATGGTGTTGAGTATCTGTCTCTCACATCCTTGTCCCCCTCTCTCTGCTTCTTTGTGTCTCGGGCCTCAGACAATCTCGAGCGCCACCTGGCAGGGGACGCTGCTGACTGGCAGTGGGCGCTGGCATGGTCTTGAGTATCCCTCAAATTCTATTTCTCCCCTCCCTTCTTCCTTGTTTCCCATGCTTCTCCCAGCTTGGAGCGCCACCTGGCAGTGGACGCTTCTGACTGGATCCACGTGAAGCTCGGGTTCGTCCACATGGCGGCCAACCGGCTGCCCGACGCGCTGCACCACCTGCAGACGGCGCTCAGGTGATGCTGCCGTGGCATGCTAAGATGCGGTAACCATGGACTGCCATGCTTGTTGTCCAATGGGTGACCATTCCGTGCCCCGCCACCCACCTCGCTTCCTCCTGTATCTCTTCTCACTCCACCTAATCTTGCTGTGTGTGCTTGTCTTGTCTGCATGGTGGCATACATGCACACACGTTTTAACGCTTGCATGCATGCACATGCGGATGCATGTGTAACCACATGAACACATGTATGCTTGTATGCACAGCGCATGCATGTGCATGCGATGTTGATACTCCTTCTGCCTGATGTCTTCTGCATGTCACCCTTTGCCTGCACACATACCCTGCCACGTCAGCATCAATCCGTCCAATGAGAACGCCAAGAGAGGGCTCAACCGCATCGACAAGCTTCTCAAGGTGATCCACGTTCCACCCCTTCCCATTCCGTTCCACCCCTCTCCACTCCATTCCACCCCTTTCCATGCGATGCTATGCCTAACCATACCATGCCATACCATGTCACCTCCAGTGCCAATCCATGTCGGTGTGTCACGTTGTCACATCCTAGGGTTCCCAGCAGTACACGTCACCTTGTATAAAGTACCCCCCCCCCCCCCCTTCCCCCCTTGACTGCAAACAGGGAGGTGATGGGGATGAGGAGGAAGAAGAGGCATCACTCCAATATGGCACTGGCGGTCCATTGTTCGAATGATAAAAGATAATTTGGGCGACAGACTTACTGTACATGCCTTGCTTGATAGCCCTTGCCGATAACCCTTTATGGGTGCCTTGGTTAGTGCATGGTTGACTTCCGTGCCTTGTTTCTTTGTAATAGAGAGCCTTTTATCAGACTCTCGCATCACTGCAGTTAGCCTGATGCAAAGTGGTTCAATGTGGCATAGAATTGTTTAACGCTTGGCATTCTTTAAAACTGTTTCACGCTCGGAATTCTCATCACTCAGGCGAAAGCTGCAAGTCTGATACAAGGCTAGAAGGAACCCGCCCTTAGGGTCCAGGGTGAAAGAGTAAGTCCAAAACTAGCACTACTGTACAGAACAAGTGCACCACATCAAGGGCAGCTAGACTAACTACTCGCTCTTACATATGTTAGCGGTTAGCAATATGGTACAAGTTACGGAGCTGCTACAACAGCTCCCAAGGCCAGAAGGCGCAGCACGAGACGTGCGAAGCCCTTCGGAAAAAAACGAGGGTGATACGCTTGCGATCCTCCCCTTCAAGTCACCACCTTTCAGCACGCCGCATTCGTACGCATTTCAGAGGGTAAGTGTATGGTCACAGAAACAGCGTGTGGTTTCCACCGAAGCCCTAGCATGCCATCAAGCGCCCCTCCCAGCACCACATCCCCAATCCCCCCAGCTCCCACTGCTGCATCTCCCCCTCCGCCTCCACACCCTCCAGTTTTCCCCCAGTCTCCGCCTCGTCCGCAAAGCAGTGCGCGCGGAGCACATCATCCGCGCACAAGGCATCCAACGTCTTCTCCGCGTCTGCCGACCCTTCCCCATCCCCCACCACACTCCGCGCCGTGAATGCATCTCCGCAAAGCTCCGCCTGCAGAAGCGCGCCGATGTCTTCCGCGCCCAACGGCTCTTCCCAGGCGCCGACGCAAGCTCCGCTCAGAGCACTCGGCGGAACAACGGCGAGGAATGACTGCGCGTATTCCGCGCAGATAAGATCCCCGCCGCGAACCGATTCGCCAGCGAGTGAGCTTTCAACCTCCGCCGGGTCTCCGCCAACACTACTGCCGCGCGAGTAATCGCCACCAGCAGCGGCGGAGCATGCGGAGTCGGCGGGGGAAGCCGGCGTTGGCGCGACGCCGTCAACCTCCCCTTCCCCCTCCTCGTCTTCCCCAAGCGCCTCGAGCACCCACCACGGAAGGCTTGTCGACGGCGATCGGCCATCAGACGCGCCACGCAGATGCTTCGCCGCAGCTTCGGACTCCCCCCAGCAGGTAGCGCCAGACCAGAGAGGGAGCGATTCGGCACAATCATCGCTGTCGAGTACGGCGGCGTCCCCGTTGTTTGCGCCCATCTTCTCCGACTTGCCGCGCACTCTCCGCTCCGCCAAGTCTTCTGCGGTCCTCTTCGTCCCGCGGGAGCCGCCTATCTTCGACTCTTGAGATAGTCTTTCCGCGAAGCACAGGCGCTCGGCGGGTAGGTCGCTGAACATATCAGACTCGTCGAAGTTCGAGCCGCTACCCTCATGCGTTTTCGCGCCGACTGAGCTGCTGGCGCCACTGTAGTCGCAGTCGACAGGAAGCGGCCGGCAGCAGTCGGCAGCGCCGAGCAAAACGGACGGACGAGACATGTCGAGGGCGTCGGCTGCGGGCGCGGCGGCAAAAAGCGACGCACGGCTCGCGATGCGACCGAACGACGATGTCGCCGATGCGGAGGGCGACGCGGGAAGCGCAGTCGGGGTGCGAGCGGAGAAGTCGAGAGCTGCGTGAGCAGCTGCAGCTGGTGTCGGAGCCATTCGTTCATGAGGAGCGGACTCCACGAAAATGTGTCGCGAAAGACGTCTCGACGGGAAGGTTTGTACGACGCTACCGTTGTCGTCGGAATAGGTCGTTTTGCGGGGTTTGCTCAGATGCCGTAGAGGCAAGCGGTTGATGAGAGGGCTTGCAGCCTCCATGGTATATTGTAGTGGGCCCTACGTGATTACTACCTTCAGTGAGTTACTCGCCTCCACAGTGGGTGCACTCTGGAGGCAGGTGGGACAGATCTTGGCAGAGGTGGGCGATGGTGTGCCAGGAACTTAGACAGGGGCGGCGGGGAGGACGGAGTGTAGTTGGGGCAAACTGAGGGAGGGGGGAGGAATTGCAGCGCAGGTTACGGAAGAAATGTATGCTGGTGGGAGGGAGGGGGTTTTTGAGTGCCACAGTTGGTTGGCTGGCAGAGGAGAGCGGGGCAGAGCAGAATGGAATGAGCAAGCGGGGGTTGGGGGAAAGAAATCTAGAGTGTTGATCGAAACTTGAGGGGCATTGGCTTCGCGCGTCGATTTTGCTGCCAATGGCAGCTGGAAGCATCGCAAAAGGATCTTGAAGCTGGCGAAAAAGCGCAGCGCGCGGCACAGGTGGGCGGAGGCGTCAGCCAATCCCCGAGGACGGTTGGCGGGATGCGGTGAATATGGCGGACACGCAGCGGAATACTGAAGGCCTTCTGTTCTGTCTTGGAATAGGGGGAAAGGGGCACTGCAGCAGCAGGCATGGTTGGGGGTGCGCTAGGGTAGGGTGGTTGCGGGTGCCCGGGGTGCTCTGCCTCGAAAGTTTTGGACAGCTTGGCGGAGCAGAGGACGAAAGCGGAACTGCAGCGTGGCGGAAGACCCGGAAGTTGCCCGGCTGTGAGTTAAACGAGCCGCGGCGCGGAGCATGAGGGAGCCACGTCAATACACCTCATCAGGGCGCCAAGTCCCGAGGATGAAGACCGAACTTCGTTTCGTCAACGTGGAAAGGGGCAGACGAGGCAAATGTACTTTGGGCCCGACGCTCACTGGGGCTAAGTGAATTCTCGGCGTTTTTGCGAATTCGTGGTTTGTATATCTGGTCCCAATCCGATCACCAGAAATGCTCCACAGAGGCACACAAAAAGCACTATACAAAGGGTTTCAGAATGCATACAACATGGTAGGCCCATCAAGGAAAAATTAAAACAATTCACAGGGTAAACAAGTTAACTGAGTAATCTATCTTGCCCTGTTCTTGCAAGCACTGACCGCCGCGAAATCATATAGGCAGACGACGATCTGCCCCTTCCCGCCGTGACAGCTGAACATGCAATCGCTGACACATCCTTGCTGCCCCTACATTTTCCTTTTTTTGCGCACCCACATCTCTGGCATCATCATCCGAATATTCTCTCCGAAAATGACTTTTATGCTGACAACGTAGGCGCCATTGAACCGCATCGTAGCCTTTTGTAACGCACAGAAGACTGCAAATAAGCCGAGCATCCTCTAGTACCGCATTTGAATGTCGGTATTTCTCGACAGTCGGCGTCCCTTGAACCAGCCCTCAATTTTAGGTGCCAGGACGAGTCTACGGTCAGAATTCGCAAACACAGAGTTTATCGAGAATGAAAGAAAATATTCATCACGTGAATCCAGCTGACAACCAATGAACGACACGCTTCCACGCACATCACCAGATTTCCAGCACGTCGACGTTGTCCCTTCCACCAACATAGGAATGAGGAGTGCTCACCCAGCATGAACGTACAAAAAAGGGGTACGATATTGCGCTCCCTATGCAGGTAAATGACCTTCTTTAGGGAGGGCATAAACAACATTCATCGTTGTTACTCTTAGCGTGCTTTCATCAGCACATTATACTCTTGTTGCACTTTGCAGTTTTGAAAAGGACCTATAATATAATCATATAATGCATAATTTAGAGCAACAATTATTATACATATATAATAATATATAAATAAAATTCAATCAAAGTAAATATTTATCGAACTTTCAAGTTACATAAGATTTTTATATATTAATACTTAAGATAAATCATACACTCAATATTTTGTTTGCTAATGCGCATCCTCGACTTACATGCTTCTACTTTGGAATATCATATTAAAATTTCATCCATAATTAGTGTTCAAGTTATTTGTCATTCTCATACCAAGCAAAGTGTTCGATCTGGGGGCTTCGGGGATATTCCCACAAGGCGGGGTCAGTATCAAACTAAACTAGACTAGTCGGATCTCCATATCAATCATATAACACAAATATTATGCATATAGACCGTGCATGTCCGCGTGGTATACCACGTGTAAGGAATTAGAATTCCTTACTGCGCTAAACTACATTGCGTACACCCGAAGTCCTCAAACTCGCATGCTAGGCCTATATTGTCTGCCTGAACATTCCCGAGTCGCGTTCCGAGACCCTCGCCACCCAACCAACCCACCTCTCGTCCCGAGGTTCTCGCCCTAGCTCGTCTATGCCCTATTTTAGCCAATTCGCTCGTCACTTGCTGATTGGTTTTTTTCCAATGTTGTATTTCCATTACTAAGTCGGTTGTTCCATTCCCACTCATAACATCTGGTATTTAGATCACTTTCTTAGGCTAGTCGCTTCCCCTTGCCCGATATTTTGTTTAAGGGGGGGGAGGGGGGGAGGGGGGGGGGAGGGGGAAAAGAAGAGATGGCTTGAGGGCCCGAGGCTGCACATCGGTTGCCCAGGAGCTAGATATGATTAGCTCCTACAACTACGATAGCATGTGCGCCTCTAAGCCATTCGATCCCTGCCTTTGGATGGCCTGGATTGGTCGTGCCCTGCCCTCTCCCCGGAAACGGACAGCTGTATCTGTCGCGAGTTTTTGCCACGTAAGTTGGTGGCGTTCATTTCAGTTGATTTGAGCCTGCGGATGGCGCTGTCGTCACGCGGCGAAGAAATTTTCAAGACGGCTGGCGCGGACTTCTTCAGTGGCTCGCAAAATTTCCTAAGCTCGCCTCGTGGGAAAATGAAAGTTGTGGACCTCGCCAGACGCACAAGGAACGTGCAGCAGGAATTATTCTACCAGAAATCATGCGCGAGTAGACAGTTGTCTCGTCTGGACTGGCGCGGAGTGCTACCAGGTGCGTGCGTCATGGCTAATTTTCGGCAGGAGTGACGCATTATGGGATGGCGCGTGCTTGACCAGCTTCGGGGAACCACGGTATTCTCCAAACTATATCTGCGGCCCGGATACTGGAAAATAAGAATGGCGGACAATTCCATCTACAAAATTGCCTTCCGAACTCGGTACGGGTCGTACGAGTATCTGGTAATGCCGTTCGGACTCACCAACGCACCGGCAACGTTCCAAGCCAAAATGAACCACATTCTATGCCCACTCTTGGACAAATGCGTGGTGGTGTACGTGGATGACATCCTCATCTACTTGCGCGACATGAAGTAGCACGTCGAACACATGCGATGCGTCTTCGACATTCTTTGATGAGAACGATTCTACGTAAAATTATCCAATAGCGAATTCGCCCTCAAGAAGGTCCAATTCCTAGGACACATGGTGAGCGCTCAAGGAGTTCACGTCGACCCCAAAAAGATCGCAGTCGTGCACATGTGGAAGACACCCAAGAACGTGAAGGAGTTGCAGCAGCTCCTAGGCTTCGCTAACTATTACAACAGGCTTGTGTCACAGAATGCGAAAATCGCCGCGCCACTCACGAATCCGCTGAAGAAGAACATGCCCTATAAGTGGGAACCAAAACATCAGGAAGTCATAGAGCAGCTAAAACAAGCACTTACGTCCGCACCTGTACTCATCTTGCCAGACCTCGAACGCGACTATGTCATTGAAGCTGACGCTAGTGACCAAGCAGCGGGAGCACTCTCGATGCAAGGCCAGGGGAATGGACAGCAACCAATCGTTTACCTCAACAAAAAATTGCGCCGGGCAGAACTAAATTACCCGATACACGACAAAGAAGCCCTTGCTATTACTATCGCATTCAAAACATGGAGATGTTATCTCGAAGGACGAAAAACAACCATCTACACCAACCACTGCAACGTGAAATACAGCGACGGAAAGTATTGCCCGGATAATTGCCTTAAAACATTTCTCGTACTGGTTTGGTGCCTTCTTTGTTTAGTTACGAATCAAATTTCGGGGTTGGATGTAAAGTAGTACTGTACTGTATGTGACGGATGCTGGTTTCAGTTTTATAGGGGCCGCTTTTTTACCGAGGACGAGATTTCGTCCGCGTGGGTGCATCCGGACAGTTTAGGCCAAGCAGCGTAGTAGATCTATTTCCTAACCTCGCTATTTCTTCTTACTTGCCCTCGCGACTATCGAGTAGTTAGGAGATAGGCTAGGACCACTGCGATGATTAGGCAGTCATGAAACCGTTAGATGAGGCGCTCTACGCATAGATCATTCCCTTGTTGCGGAGGGGGTAGAGCAATTGTTGAATCGCTAAACAGCTAGCCATAGGGAAGAGTTCGGCCAATCAAGGCGATTGTAGAGTCTAGCCGCGAGGACGTGCGTCCTACGATGCCCTCAGCCGGTCGCCATCGCTTAGTGACAGAGAGAGAGTTCGCCGCGGCATAGTTCGGTCGATTACCCTCGAGGAGGCAGAAATCTCCGCTCACGTGGCGAAAATCGTTGAGAAGCAGCACGGCATCACGTTGCATCCTAAGACATTGCGTAACGCTTTGAATGGGAGCCGACTTGTTGCAATCAAGCATCCCAAGAAACCGCGACACTCTCGGAAAAACATACGCGATAGGCTGGAATGGGCGCGTGCCCACGCAGACTGGACGGTTGACGACTAGAAGCGAGTTATCTGTGCGGATGAGACCAAGATCGGTCGTCTTGCATCCGACTGACTCTCATACGCCTACGTTTACGAAGGGACTGCCCTCCAAAGACACCACATCAAGCAGACCGTCAAACACGGGGGCGGTTGCTTGATAATTTACGCCTGCATGTCGTAAAAGGGAGCGGGCTTCATGAGCAAAACATATGGTAGGGTGGACGGACTGCTCTCGCTGAGTATACTGCAGGACGATCTCAACAGTACGATTGAGCTTTACCAGCTTACACCCTCAAAAACTATCTTCCAGCACGACAACGACCCGAAGCACAAGTCGCGTATCGTACAGGAGTGGCTTTGAGAGTAAGATTCAGGGGTGCTAGAGTGGCCGTCTTCCTCACCCGACCTCAACCCAATGGAGCATTTATGGGCTCATCTCAAGAGGCAGCTGGCCAAGCCTTATAAGCCTCCCACTGGTATGCAGGACCTTTGGGAGCGGATGCAGGAGAAATGGGAGAAGATCCAGGCGGATGTGTGCACCCACCTGGTGGAAAGCATGCCCAGGAGGGTGAGGGCGGTGTCTAAGGCGAAAGGGCGGTGGATTAGGTACTAGTTTGGGGTTGATGTAACTTGCTGCTTGCGCCTGGCAATAATTGTCCACATGTACCAAGATTGTTATTTTCTAGTATTTATTGTAAACATCATTATACTTGTGTGATGTACGGCATGGGCGTGGAGCCTTACCCCAACCTACATACACTAGGCACACCAGAAGATTAAGTCTTAATGTCCATGACCCCCTAAAATGGCAAAATTCCTCTAAGTCACAAACATGTGGACAATACTTTCCGTCGCTGTATTTGAAGACACAGCCAAACCTCTCGAGGCGGCAGGTCCGGTGGATTGACTTCCTCAAGACGCACTTCCACTATGACATCGTGTACAAAGTAGACGCTCTTAGCCGGCCTACACACGTTGCCGCTATCCAGGAAGAAGGGATGAACCCACTACTCAAGGGAATATTCACACACGGGTACACCATTGACCCCGAAATTCCCTCGGCGAAAAAGTGACACCTGCTACAGTAGGACAGTGAAATCGCATACTGGAAAGGATCAACGAAAATCCGGGTACCCAATTACCCTCCTTTGCATCAGTTACTACTTGAAGAATACCATGATGTCCTATATGCGGGACACTTCGGTAGCAACAAGACGCTCACCGGTATTGCAAAGCACTACTACTGGCCTTACATGGCAGACGACGTCCAGCAATTCGTCACCTCGTGTGTTACATGTCAGCGGATGAAGAGCAGCAAGCAGGAAAGGCAGGACTGCTACAGCCTCTTCCTGTCCCAGAATAGCCATGGCAAGTGGTTAGCCTGGACTTCATAACCGAGTTACCAACTATCACAAGCGGCCATGACGCAATCCTCGTCATCATCGACAAATTTTCCAAAATGGGACACTTCATCCCGACACACACGCCTGCATGCACCGAGTAGAGAGCACAACTACTCGTTCACTACATTATCTTATAGCATGGAATTCTAGCCACACTCATCTCCAACCGAGACCCCAAGATCACCAGCAATGATGTCTCTGCTCGGGACCAAACTCGCCATGCCATTCGCCTACCATCCACAAACAGATGGATAGACCGAGTGTCTCAACCAAATTGTAGAGCAACTCCCTCGTGTAGGATGCAAGGACGAAATCTCTAAGTGGGACTTGCATCTACTTGTCCTAGAGTTTGCCTACAAGAATGCCACTCACGCCGCTATTGGATAGACGCCGTTCTTCCTCGATTACGGATGCAACCCGCTCATGCCACAAAAACCAATAGCATCAGCCACACTCCAACCCATACACAACTTCATTGCGACCATGCATGAGCTTTGGGATCGGACCCATAAGCGCCTCCTCGACATTCAGCAACAACAGAAGCACCAGGCCGATCGCCACCGCACTGACCACACCATCATCGTGGGAGACCAGGTTCTACTCGACACCCGCAATCTCGACATTAGTCACCTCCCATCCAAACTTCGACCTCGCTTCTGCGGGCCCTTCCTCGTTGAAGCACAGGTCACTTCTGTTACCTTTCGCTTATGCCTGCCAACTACCTGGAAGGTTCCCAATGCCTTCCATGTCCAACTTCTGAAGCCCTACCGTGATCCCAACACGGTCTTCACCGGCCGCCAACTGCCGATCGTCCTTGTCCACCATGAACCCAAGTACGAGGTCGAGTCCGTGCTTGCACACTGCCGTCGACAGAATGGCACCGTTGAGCTTCTCATCCGTTGGAAGGTTTATGATCCTTCTGAGGATAGCTGGGTCCCTGAATCTGGGATGGGTAACGCCCGTCGTCCTCTTCGCGACTACCTTGTCAAGCAAGGTGTTACTTTTACCACCTGGCTTTGAGGGGGGAAAGTGCGAGAGTACGACCCCATTACAATTCTTCCTCCTTTCCATCCTTCTCCTCTATCTCATTCTTCTTTTTCTCCTGATTCATTTGATTTGTATATCATCTCATTGGGTTTTCGATTCCTCAATTTCCATTATCCTTTCGTTTATCCTATTATTATAAATATATTACCGTCCAAGCTTCGGATGTACTGGCATGCTACATCTAGCGTAATCCTGCTGTAATCCCTTAAAGCTAATTGCCTCGCATGGCTATACGCATGGTGATTTTATTTCTACAAGGGTCTATTCCCTTTGGATAGGATAAATCTGGTTACCTGATGTACCTTGGAAGTATAAAAGCGCCTTGTATCAATCCATAGTGCAACTTTTCCTCGACCCATTCGATCCTGCAACACTAACCCTTGATTGCAATTCGACTTCAAGACCTCGTCAGGTTGACGTAATCACTACGCTCGTCAGTGTGCTGAAAACCTATAGTCACGTCGTGGATTAATTATTTGTGATAGTTCGGCCTCGATATACGGAGGGCTTTCTTTAGAAGGTGGGAGAGTGTAAGGAATTACAATTCCTTACTGCGCTAAACTACAGCGCTTACACCCGAAGTCCTCGAACTCGCAGGTTCCGCCTATATTGTCGGCCCAAACCTCCCCGAGTCGCGTTCCCAGACCCTCACCACCCACCCAACCCACCCCACAGCAAGTGATGCGTGGATCCAATTTGCTAGTTGCCGACTAACCGTAAGGCATATCACATTCGAAAAAAATCGAAAGACAACAATCAATAGCTGTTAAAAACCAATTGCCGATTTGTGTGTTTTTTTTTGTTTTTTTTTGTTTTTTTTCAACGTATTTATGACCTGCAAAGCATGCGCCGTGGTTGTACATCTTGTTCAGTGGGCTATGCATATGCGATACCGCTGAGCGTATCGCAGTGGGTGGGTTATGTGGCATACTTAAAGGGCACTTTAAGGGGACAGACTCTGGCAAAGTCTGATATCCATGTTCGAAAACAGCAGGGATTGGGCTCGATATTACACTAGTTTGATACTTATATCCGCTTGTGGGCATACGCCTTTAAACCTTTTACGATGCCGGAAGTATGATAGGATCTTATATGATTGAATGCGATTCACAAGAGAAGATAAATAACATTATGTAAGAAAAACATTCTTCCATATTATGCATCCCACGCACTAACACGTTCAATTGTTGCCATCGGCCCTCCTTGGTTACCACATGTTCACCCGTTGCATGTTTTGTCGACCCGGCCGACATCCACACTACCGAGTTATTTGCCAAATAATTTAGCACTCGTTGAGCCCACGCTCCAAAGTCGTGCGCAAATGAAATATCATAGACACATCACTAGACGTTACTCGTGGCGCATTTTGCCTATAAATGCTTCGCATGGATTTCGCTCAACTTGTTCCTTAGCTCACGTTTTCCGCAACCTTCCTCCTCGCAAGTAGGTCGTTTGGCTACAAGGTGAACGAGGATCCATATGTAGAGCCATCGATTATAAGCCAACCCAACAAATTTGATGCTAAGTCACAATTAGCATTCACGCCTTAGACGGGGAGGCTATCGTAGAGGAGCCCGGACGTACGCTCGTGCGAATTGATGCATCGCAACCCGGGGCGACTAACACCCTCTCTCGCCGGATTCAGCAGATGTGCGATCACCTCAAAGCAGCACAAGTCATCACCATGAGCCCCAGCCAAAACGCATCCAATCTGCCGATAAGAAGGATCGGCACATAGGGCAGCAACTTGCGAGATATCAGTAGGAAATGAAGGTGATGCATGCAGAGATTACGCACCTTCAGAGACAAAGGCGGAACGAACATGCCAACATCAACCGCTGCTACCAACGTCACCAAGCAGCAGCCGTCATCAAAGTCCCCCGTATCTCAAGCCGAAGAAAACACGCAACAACAATCGCAACAGCACGACGCAAGGGGGAACGGAGACAGGAATTTCGATGCCCATTTGCAGCCGAATGCTAGGCAGCACGTCAACACCAGAGCCCGTGATCAACCTTCAATGGGACCCTCACTTCTATAGCATCGTGTGTTGATGCTGTAGCGACTGCCGAACTTCAAACCGTCGACGAGAGGATAGTCCAGCGTTCGTGCTTGGATACAACAATGAACACGTTCTACAGGGTGTGTTGCAAGCAAAATGACAAGGAAAAAATCCCCTACGCCATCCCGCTGTTGCAAGGCGCTGCTAGGACTTAGTGGTACCAGCAGGTGGACCCACTATTTGACCTTGAGCAGTTGACAGAAACTGATGGATGCCTGGACGCGCCGAAAGGTAGGGAGCGAAATGAAGATTGGAAAGCGGGTGTAGAAAGGGAAAGACTCGTCGAAAGTGTCGTTACGCGAGTGAAAGAAACGGTGCGACGATGGGTGGTAGAAGTGCCAGTTAGACGCATCCATGGGGGAAGCTAAGGAAGACACACGGGATGGTGCGGGCAGTAAGCTTGTCCGCGCGAGAGTCGCAGACGTGAGCGAGGGAGCCCCAGACATGAAATGCAGACGCGTCACCAAGGGACCTAGTCCAAAGGAGGGTCGGCAAAACTTGCGGCCGCTGGGAGTGGGGCCACATGTTAAGCTGGTGAGCGTTGTAGCTAACTGTGAACGACCACAGAAAATGCAGTGCACCCGCATGAAACATGGAGGTACGAGCCACCTCCACGACCAAACCGACGCGTCGCTCAGCAATCCCATTCTGACATGGGGAGTCTGGCAGGGTGCATGACTGGGTGATGCCCTCCGCAGGACAGAACTGGCCAAGCTGACCGGAGGCGAACTCACCGCCACGGTCGGAGTGGAGACGAGGCACTGGGAGGCTGTGGTGGACTTGCACAACTACAAGCCATCAGATAAGAACATCAGGCACGTCAGTCTTCTGCTCCAAGGAAAACACCGTGGTGTAGCGCGTGCAGTCGTCTACGAGCACCAGAAAGTAGCGCTTGCGACACGGCCCAGGGACAGGGGCTGGGCCCCAGACGTCCAAGTGCAGGGTCTGAAGTAGCGCAGTGGTGGGGGGAAACGAGGAGGAGTGAGGAGCATGATGCAGCTGGCCCTCGACAAAAGGCGTGCACGCAGGCGCAGGCGAGGGATGGAGGGCAGGAAGCGACGCAGGGAGACCTAGGACGAGACCGTGCTGGGACATGTGGCACAGACGCGGGAGTGCGGGGTGACCTAGGCGGTTGTGCCACAGAAGCGACGGGTGAGTGAGCGACCGACACGAGCAAGCCGTAGCGACCTGGGTAGGCTCAGCCACCTAAGAGGACGCCCTCACTGGGGGATACGGACAGTGTACCGCTCGTGACGAAGAAACGTAGTGTTGACGCCAAAGTCCTGAAGGCAGCCGACACCAGCTAGGTTCCTGGAGAACGAGGAGATGTGAAGGCCTGTAAGTGAGCCCGAGGGAACCGTCGGACTGGAAAGGGTGGTACTGGACCTGAGGAGGAATCAGCAAGGGCGACGGCTACAGGGGCAACAAGCGGCGTAAGCGCAATGTGGTCACGAAAGAAGCAGGCAGACGCACCAGAGTCCAGCATGAAGGAGAGAGCAGTGGTAGCGTTAGCCGGAGGAGGGACTAGGGTGGAGCCAAGGTTAAACAAGTCAAAAGGTCCTATGCCTGACGCAGCAAGGGAGCCTAGACTACACACAATGGACACACCTATACTAGGCAACACAAGGTAATAAGGTCCAGTCACACTAGAGGCATCAACATACATGGCATACAAAGCAGAGCGAATCTGATCCATATCCATCTCAAAGACTGGCACACAGGGACGTACCAGGCTGTACAAGTCCGTGAGGTCCGGCGCGGGCCCAAAACGGAGACGGAAGAGGTCGTCGAGGCGGCGGTAGCAGCGGGCAACGGTGTGACCGGGACGGTCACACACGGTGACGCGACGGGGGCCGGTCTGAAGCTGGTACTGGCAAGTTACGGTAGTCGAGCCGCCACCCGACGCCGAGCTGCACGAGCCACCACTGCGGCCAACACTACTAAAGCCGCCAGGCCACCACGACGACAGGGGTCCCCACGACTGCTGCGACTGCTGCTGCGCCAAGGCATCAGCCCCGGCCCCCTTGTCTGTACCACTGGCACTCGCGCCACCTCCGCCACCCCCGCCACCCTTCCCTCCGCCACGCCCCCCCTTGGGGTGGCAACCCTTAC